ACCGTTCTTGACAAAAATTTCTGGCTTTGCCACTGATCCATGGAGAGAAATATGTTCCCTCTATGCGTGTGAATGAAGAGCTAGAGGAAGGAATGAGTCTAAAAGAGAGGAGGTAAGTGTGTGTAATGAGAAAGAATGAGTGGAGGGGGTACCTGTTCGTCCAATTTGAGTGTGCTACCTGTCCATTCTAGAGTACTTTCCAAGCAAATCAATTACTTGAAATATTTTTTAGGAATCCTGGGTTTGAGCCAGGTTCTCATGAGCTGGGCCCACTAATCTCATACATATTACACTTTTTAATTGGTATAACACTTATGGTTACGGGCACCTGGCCTTTGAGGCCTAGTGGTAATAGCCACCCCGGTGCATTCCCCCTTCTCTCGGGGTTGGGTTCGAAATCCGCACCTTGCAAATATGTTCAAAAAAAAAAAAAAAAAAAAAACACTTATGGTTACGGTAAAGGGTTGAAGGGTTAAGGGCTGTCCTAAAAAGGCTGAAGGTGGAAGGGGCAAGGGCTTCTTCGATAAGAGGGAGAGTTGAAGGGGTAAGGGCTACCAGGATAATAATTCCCCATAAACATCAAGGCTAGATATTAAGAATGTATTTCGGTTTTGGTTTACAGCATGCACTAGAGAATGCATATATGTATATATAGATCCACGATGATGAACTGATGATTGTTTTCATTTATGTTCAATACAACAAAAATGGGTTCCAAATGCTGTTTAATCCTTCACTTTCATTTTTTACTTTTTAAATCTTAGCCATACAACAAAAGTGTATTTGCCCATTAATTAGATCTTAAATTATGCATGATTGGTTCTGCCTTCTGATTTAGAGTAGAAGTGTGAATAGAAGAAGTATATATAATGTTAAATGATTTCACTTTTCACCCAGAAAGCCCAAAAAGCATATAATTCCTCTCCCACCTTAGAATTGAGATTCCAGTCCTTTATTCTTTGCTTCATTCTTTAGAAGCTTATACATGATATTACTGTTTCTAAAGGGACAATCCAACAATTTGAATAAAAAATTCTCAAGTTAGAGATCTCAACTCAAATCATGCCAGTTTAATTTTTCTTTAATGCAAAGCATTTCCAGGAGCTTGTTGCTCTGTTCAAGTATGAGCTATGCCTAGAACGGTATCTGAGGCTTGATGCTTGTAACTAAGGATTTATTTATTTATTTTGTATAGATGTCTAACATTCTACTGTTTCTATAAGTATTTAATATGCCTACAAGTAAGCACACAAGAGAAATTGATACAAGATGGAACCCAAAACTGATCACGGTAAAACCCATCTCACCCTTAATACTAAATTTTGAATTAGTGACTAGATCCGTGCAGTGGAAGGGTACCATGGAAACTAAGATTGGTGATGTCTGATTTAGTAAATTGGTTGAGGCAATTTCCCAGCATTGTTGTGAGCTTTAGTAAAGTTAATGTTGCTTGCATGGTGTTTGACAAAATGCCTGGCTGTGAGATTGAGAAAACCTTATATTCTAACCAAATTCTTGATAAGAGATTCATCGAAAGTAAAGAGCCCTCAGATCACGAATGTTACATATCACCAACTCATGACAATTTTTATTTGTGTCTCAACATGATATGACAGGTATTAAAACAAGTATTGATCACTTCATGGAATACATTTTTTTTTTATCAGCACTTCATGGTATAAATGGTTTGCAAGAACGCTAGGATGAGAACGATAGCAGCAACAATCTGAGAAACAATGGCTCACGGCTTTGCAAAATAATTGCGGATATAAAAAGCTCGCCATTTAGGCCACAATTTCTGCTGATATTCATTCACTTCCCTGAAAAGCTTCAGGTAATGAAACTCTTTCAAAAATGCATCATGGTATAGCATCTTAAAGAACTGGGTCGTGTCATGTGGATTAAGCCAGTTGATAAGAACCCCACTCTTGCTGAGTTCTTCCATTTCCTCTTCATTGTTGATAAGGTTGTCCAAGAGTATAGCATAGCTTGTAACTCTAGGAGGACAGTTTGGATAACATTGCTCATAGCTGATCAGATTTCGGAAGGCAGGTTCAACGGTTTCTTGGATGAGAATTGGTGACATTTCCAGAGCGCCTCTCCTAAATTTGACATCCAGGATGCTACGTGACTTCACTTTTCTGAAACTGATTCCAGAATCTTTGATGCTGGTGGCAGAAGGAATAGGCTGCCATGAGACAAATGACTCTTCTTGGCCTTGCTGGTCTCCAAGTGGCAACACCAAAGAACTTCTTATCAAATCAAGAATGTGCTGGATTTCTTGATTGGCGAAGAGATCTAGTTGTATGGAAGATTTCTCAGATGAAAAAATGTTCTCGAAGAAATCCAAGGTGAGTTGAAGTAGGGACTTGGTTTCAGACCAATCACTTGTTAAGCTAAACAGAAGCTCAAGCACAAACCAGGGTATTTGATTTTCTAGCAAAATCAAGTCATGGTGTAAGAACTGCAGCATACAGGAAGGAGAGAAAATGGGATCATTTTCAATTTTCCTAACCTCTTCAGCATCCTTCCTGAACACTTCAACAATGAAGCAGCCATCAAGCACCAACATTTCAATGAACGCCTGTTTGCTCATAAGAATTTCTTCTGCATAGCACTCTCGGGCTTTTGTTTCATAATTTGTGATCTCTCTGATGCATTTCATCAGTGTTGCCTCCGGATCACGATTTCTGTCTATAAGGCCTTGTAAGTAGTCAAACTTGATCTTCTCTTTGTCTTCAAGATGTTTCTCGCCATGGTGAAAAGGCCCGATCGAAAACGCGTTGGGGATGTATGCTTCCTTATTGTGCCTGCGAAGTATGCTGGGAATCCCGAAGATGCAAGATGTGGATGAACTTTTAGTATCACCCCTCATCTTGCTCCTCATGTTAGATGCCATGGATTCAATTTCTCCTGCCATGATCAACTTTTCCCCTCTCCAAGCACGTCTAAGCAAGAATCTTTTTGAGGAAAAATGAAGGTAGAGAGTTTCTTAAACAAGGTAGTATATATATGAAGAAGAATTGCTGAGGACTCAACTGAAAAGAGTTCTATGTACCAAAAAAGAAAAAACTGAAAAGAGTTCTGTTTTACATTCAATCCCTGCAACATAAGTTATGATGATTGATATAGGGATACTTTGCTTTCAATGAAAAATTATGTTTAATATTATGTTTTTTTTTTTTTGTTTTTCTAATCTATAATCTCGTTATATTTTTTTTACAGTTAATTTATATGAAAAATTATTGAAAAAATTTTTATTTTCAATATCAATATCACTTAAAAGGATTTATGATTAATAAAGTTAAAGTTAATTTTTATATTTTCAATGTGAATTAATGGTAAAAATATATAATAAATATACCATTAATTTTTTTTAAAGAATATA